ATGTGAGTGTGAGTGATATTTCAGTTTGTCACCGTTTTGGTGGTTTCATGCAATTTGTGCTGTGCCATTTTTTCTTTGATCCAATTAGGTTACTGAATAGTTTGGTTTTATGTGACCGCTTGCAGTTGTAGTGTGATTCTTGTCTTATCCAATTTGGTTATTGAGAACATACTAGTTTTTAAACTACAACATTTTCATCTTTTTCATATGGGGCCTCAGTAAAAGAATTATAAAACGAATGTTTTTCTTTTTCTAATCGCAAAATGACAAATATACCCACCTTGAGGGTAACAAAAGAAAAAGAACATATTTGATGTACCTATTTGCATGAACTTCTGCAGGTTGCTCGAACTGGTAGAGTGGCACTTGTACGAGAATCAGGAGTTGATTCAAAGTATCTTCGTGGATACTCATTTCCACTCTAATTCTGGGTCACCTTGAAAATGCTTTTGCAATGGTGATGTTATTATCCTCTTTAAATTGAGAATCCACTCAACCTTTGGTCTTTGAAGATGGATAAAAGATTCAATTTTGATGCCTAAGTTGTGTGTGTGACATTTTCTTTTTCTCCAATGCTCTTCTAACAACTATTGTAGCACTTGGTTTGTGAATTTATGGGAATATATATCAGCTTTTATGGGTTTTCTAAATGTGATGTATGTAGGCCTGATTGGATTATGTCGTCATTTTTTACCAGGTAATTTTTTTTAACTCAAATCTAACTTGAATGTAATCACATATTACATCAATTTTAGTTTACTGCAGTGTTTTGAGACCCGGACCGGCCCGGCGGGTCGACCCGGGACCCGGTCGACCCGGAGCCGGAACCGGTTCGGGTGGAGTATTTGGACCGGGCAACCAAGGACCCGGTCAAAACCCGGCTGACCCGGCAGAGACCCGGCCGACCCGGGGCATTGACCCGGCCGGGTCAACCGGGTTGACCCGGTCCATATATTTTTTTATATTTTTTTTTATTTTTTTTTGTTTTTTTAAAAATAAAAATATGTATATATGTTTATATGGTAAATATTTATCATGAGATACATATTATTAACACTTTAATATACAAATTTTATACACAAAACATTTAATTTTGTTACTTTTATGTATATTTATATAACAAAAATACTCTATATATAATTTTAAAAATTTTAAAATTAATTATCCGGTTCAACAATTGACCCGGTGACCCGACGGTTGAACCGGTGACCTGGTGACCCGAGGACCTGCTCGGGTTGATCACCGGGCCGGGTTTAAAAACTATGGTTTACTGTTCATTCATCACTTCGAATCACCTATCATACTTTTACATCAAATTAACTTTAATTATTATATTTTAAATATTATTTTAATGCAAACTCAAAATTCTACTTAAATTTAATTTAATCAATTTTTTTAAAATTAATTATTTAATTCACTATTCATCCACTTGCATAATTTTAACTACATATCACTTCGAATCACCTCTCTCATACATTTACATCAACTGTAATAATTATATTTTAAGTATTATTTTAATACAAACTCAAAATTGAATAAAAAAAAATATCGTCAGACATAAGAAAAAATAAAAAGTTAATGTTATCTTAAAATATGTGTCTAAGATAATTTTAATTTTACTAAAACTTTTAAAATATGAAAGTATAATATTAAAATTTCCATGATTACATTTATTTTCATTTTTCATATGCGTAATGTTTTTTTAATATTATAATTACACTTTTAATAATTTGTGGAATATAAAAGTTTTTTTAATTAATTTTTTAATCTTTTATATTATCTATTTATTTATTTACGAAACAATTTTTTGGACAACATGTGTTGTCACTTCAAAATAAAAGGTTGATGCACTATCTTAACATGATTCCACGATTTTTAAGTCACTATTGCATATTTAGTGTTATATTATTGCATCTATCTTATCATGATACAATGTTATCTTCAATTGTCCATATGTATGCAAATTCCAAGTTATAAAACCATGGGTAGCTTTGTATAAGTCTAAAACATACATCTCCATTTAAGAGTAGAAGTGGTAACGGAGAGACTCAAATTTTTCTAATTTTAATATGCCCAACTCTTCTGAGGATGATAGTCCGCCCGTAGCAATTTTTGTTATCTTAGGAGTATACCTTCCGTACATGACCAATTTCCTGCAATGCAATTGCAACCCTAATTTCAAAATTTTCTACATCAACCAATTCCTTCGTTTCTTATATCCCAAACTTTAGAACATTATGTCTACCCTCAACAACAAAATGCAACAGGAATCAATCTCAGCATATGTGGTAAATGGCATCCCAGTATGGGATGTCAAATTCACTTGGCATGCTTTGGTAATTTCATACCAACAACTGTGAGTAATGAACCTACTAACTCACAAGATCTCCTAAGAGCTACCAAGGTGCAAGTAGTTAAAGGTCTTGACAATATGTGTCTTAGTACGAAGACAGAAGAAAATAAGGAACTTGAGCCAAAAAGACGTGGGAAAGCGACGACAATATCGTGGACACATGAAGAAGATATGTTGCTTTGTCGCGCATTTTGTATTATCGAGTTTTGTCAGTGTGTGCGACAAATATTTGCGTCCCGATACTTGCGTTCATCTAATGATGCTAACATTCAACGGCTACTTGTATTACATGAAGGCAAACATGGTTTTCTAAGAATGCTGGGAGTCTTGATTGTATGCATTGAGAATGAAAAATTGTCATGTGGGTTGGCAGAGCTCATACACTCAAGGGGATCATGGAGTACCCACGATAATGCTTGAAACAGTAGCCTCACAAGGCTTGTGGATCTGACATGATTTTTTTGGACTCGCTGGATCAAGAAATGATATTAATGTGTTACACGAGTCTCCACTATTCAATGATGTCTTACAATGGGTAGCACTAGAGTAAATTTTACAATAAATGTAATCTATTATAGAAAAGGTAACTACTTAACAGATGATATCTATCCAGACTTGGCAACATTTGTGAAATGCTTTCAGTGTCCAGAGGATCCTGAAAGATTTATTTTTGGCAATGAGGTAGAAAATAATATCTTGGAGATGTATTCTTGCAAGCAAAGGAAACTAAAATAGAAGATCTTCAGTTATTTATAATTATATTCTATGTCAATTTTTTGTATAGTATATATATTATCCTGTTAACATAAATATTGCAAGATATTGTGTAATCTTATATTTGATTATAGTGAACATATGCATGTGATGATAATCGGCCTATTTGGAAACAAGATGAAGAGAGAGAAGAACCTTGTTCAAGAGTAAATATTCTCTTACTATATTTTGGAGCTTATGCTTGGAAAGAAGTTAAATTAGAAGAAAAATGAGTAGCTACTTGGAGTAGCTATATATTCTCGTCTTGAAAATCAATTGAAGGTTGCTGAGAGTTTCAGAGTTCACCACTTATTCAAACATTCAATTGATAGTTCAAGATGATTGTTGGTTTTAGATTTAGTCTTGATATTCAGTGCTTCGATGTTCTTACACAATCGAAGAACTGAGATTGTTTTTTTTTTTTTCATGTTTTCTTTCAAACACTTGGTTATACTACACAGGGATTAAGTACTGGTTTGCTCGAGGGATTCGAGTTTGTAAACGACCATGAGTTGCGGCCAGAGAAGTAATTGGTAGGATTGAGTATAGTGTTGTCTAGGCTAGAAGGGAGTTCTAGTTGCACAAGTACAAGTTGTATGACCGTGTACAATCGATCTATTAATGAAAGATATCTGAGGGGTAGTCGGACGCTCCCCGAATAGTTTTTATCTCTTGTTTGCTTCGACAAAATTAATTATCTCTGTTGCAACACAATTTAGTAATACAGAATCTTTGTGTTCTAACACAGTTTAATGCACTCTTTATCATATACTCTCGTTTCAGATCCAAAGAGGAAAATTTTAAGAAACGACAAGGGGCTTCAAGAAAAAGATGTTAAGCGTGCTTTCGGAGTGCTCCAGATAACATGGGCATATGTATGTGGTCCAACTCGTTTTTTATACAAAGAAGATCCCCGTGAAATAATATTATTGTGTATTGTTTTATATAACATGATAATTGAGGACAATGGTGAGGAGGCAACCAATTGGTCTAATGACGACGGTGAACCGCCTATCCAAACACATCAAGGTCATCCAATAATTTTTCGTCGGTACTTGCAAATACAGGCCAAAGTACAAGACAGACAGGTTTATCATCAACTTAGGCATGACCTAGTTGAACATATATTGAACGAACCTGATTATTAAGATTAATATATCGGTTATGTATGCAAACTTTAATTTTTATCGACATATAATTTTTTATATTTTATATTATTGTAAGATTTATGTATAATAAATTTATCTTATTGTCATTATTTTATTTTATTTTGAAATTTTAATTGCACGTATGTCATTGTAAAAAATATGGAACTCGTTAAAAAAAGCTTGCGAGGTTTATGATTATAGGAGCATGAGATATAAGGAGTAATCCCAAAAGCCCTGAAATTGACGAACGAGAAAAAATGGCGCTCTACAGGGCTCGCATATGTTCCTCTGCTCTGTTCCGCTCAATTCTCCACGCCCCTACTCGCTCTCTCTCATCCGGTAATCGCCATTTTTCTCTCTCCCTTATCGTGTAACTTTACCCTATCTCGTAGTGTTTCCTTTGCTGCAATTTCATTTCTAAATTAGTTTGTTGGGCAAAAGTTCAGGACTTGTTACGATTATAGGTTTCAGGTGCTGTTGTGATTCCCTCCCTTCAGCTTGTCGTTCTTCAATGTTACTTCGATTTCTTGATTTGCAGGTGTCGGTATTCAGGCCGTGGATTCCAATCAAGGGTCCTCATGGAGATCGTCCATGATGAATCAGATGTTCACACTCGACATAAGCTCCCAAATAGGGAGCTGTATGCCTCTGGCGAATATGAGGATCGGAACTCAGATCCACAACATTGAGCTTCGACCGGGACAAGGTGGGAAGCTCGTGCGTGCTGCAGGCACGTCTGCCAAGATTCTTACCGAGCCTAATAGGTCTACGAGGTAGAAATTTCTTCTAAATGAAATATGGAAAAAGTTCATGAAATAGATAGGTGGTTGTAATTATTAGTTGAGAATAAGACAAGACTGAATTTTGCAAAGTGATGGCCTATGGGTGGTGCTTAGCTGAAGTATAGTGCCAATATAAATTTGTCATGAAAGATCAGGCTGCATTGTATGTTATGATATTAGGGAGGGGTGTTTTGGCTCAAAGGCTTTGAATTACAAAATTTTAGCGTAATTTATAAGTTAAAACACTACCATTCTTTTGGCTAGCCTTTAGTTTGAATTTGACAGTTTGTCCGTATGTTGAGAGCACTCTACAATCTACATGTGTAGTCCTCGGGGAATTTTAGTGGAAACAATTCATTGGACAGACTACATAATGGGTTTGTTTCATAAAAGTTGTGCAGTATGATGTGCTTGAGATTTTCCCTAAAACCATTACTTTATTGAGTGGGCTAGGAATTGCTTAGGAAGTGCCATAATACTCAAATGAAATCTTGTTGTCATGGTCTTGATTGAGATCTACTGGATTGTCAAATTAAGCAACTGGAAAGGAACAGATCAAATTTCTGAATTTTATGACTTCTGTGTATCTACAAGTAGCTTCATGTTTTCTGCAAGAACGTGAAAATTTTCAGTACTAACTATACTGCTTATCCAAGTTCGGTGGCCATGCATTTGATTTTATGCCCACAAGCTGATCTTTCTTCTATAAGTTGTGTCCTTTGCTCCTTGGATATTGTATTTGATGTTCGCTGCATGCTGTTTAGTTCTACTCTGGATATTCCCTACATTTAAAGTTAATTCATATCTTTTAGTGCAAACAATTACACTTTTTGGAAATCCTCTTTTCTTGATTTATATTTTTGTTTATATTTCCCATTGAGTTACTGGAATTTAAACCCTGACGCCCCAAGTGTTCATTGAATTTGAATTGAATTGCCTTGAGATTTGATAAGGCTATAGATCCTCTGAAGTAAAGGCTCCCTATTGGAGTTTAGATGAGCAGTATCACAGAATCCACTGCTTTTGATGCTTTGTAATATCCAAAAAATAAGCTGTATAAGGAAAAAAACAGGGGTCATACCAAGTCTCAACCATTATTAGAGCAATGCATTAACTTGTTTTTCGTCAGTAAGCAGATGCAGCTCTATCCTTTGAGCGTTTTTGGTTCAATGAAATAAATTTCAGATTTAGTGCACATAAAATATTATTTGCAAAACATTCAGACCAGTTACTCAATTTATCGGTGTGTAGTTTCACAGTCAACTGTTTCTTGTGTTGTGTTATAATACATTCAAATATCAGGCAAGCATGACAGCATTAGAGCTCCAAAGTAATTCATCACAAATTCCGATCATCTTAATTTTATTTTAATATTTTTTTTCTCCCACAATTGATTTTTTACTGCCCGTTTATTTATTTATTTATTTTTTCTACCTTGCGATCATTTTCAGGTACTGTGAGATAAAGCTGCCATCTGGGGTGAAGAAACTGATAGACGTGAGATGTCGAGCGACTATTGGAATGGTATCTAACCCGGAACACGGAACAAAGAAGCTAAGAAAGGCTGGGCAAAGCCGATGGTTGGGAAGAAGGCCGGTTGTGAGAGGTGTGGCTATGAACCCAGTTGATCATCCGCATGGTGGTGGTGAAGGAAGGAGTAAGAGTAGTGGTAGTCATGGCCGAGTCTCACTTACGCCGTGGGGAAAACCAACCAAGTGTGGCTACAAAACTGCTCGTCCTAAGAGAAAGATTTAAGGGTACGATTGAGGGATTTGAAATCTATAGATTTCAAATTTTACAAGTTCAAATCTCCATACATGTTCGGATGATAATAGATGTTGGAGGATTTCAAATTCACGACAGATAAAATAAACTAGTATTCCCATGTAGAAAGAAAAGGGTTGTTCGTTCTTGTTTTAGTGAACTCTGATGATGTGTTCTCTTTATTTCGGTTACGCCCATGGTCGAGTGATCCAATTTTTTTTTTTTTAGTGTTAACTACTTTGGAAGAAAAACGGTTTTGTGAATATCTCAGTTCAGATTTCTTCTCATTTACTAAACTTTGAATTTTTTGGCATTGTGGGGAACAATTATGCTAGTATGCATATGAATTGTTTGTTTAGGTGTGGCTTTCATTTTGTTTTCAGTTGGCTGACTATTTGATATTTGAACTGAGGGAGACAAGTTAGAACTTAGAAGTTTTATTTCTATTCCGAACAGTATGAATGGAGGCATCATGCACAATCTAGTGATCTGTAACTCGAGTTCAAAATTGCTCGATCGGTTTAGCCGAGTGGAGATGAATAATTTGATTTGGCACACATGTTATAGCAGTGAGGGTCAGCAATTTGGTTATTAAGCTCGACATGCTGGGTGTTGCAAGATTGGCAAGATAAAGTAAAGAAAAAAAAGTGAACTATTAAAAGGAAACCATGCATATCACAATCATTCATGACTTAGATCTGAATGAGTCGAATTGCTTGTCCTTCTGTTTGAATTTGTTGCATATTATAGTAGTTTTGGTATGAACGTACGTCTAGAGCTGTTGAATAGGCTTCTTCAACATCTGACAATATCTTCTGACAATACCGGTATGAACCATGCATATCAGACAGTTGAGTTCTTGGCGTGTCGAACAGTAATCCATAATAATAATATGAAGCAATCTCAATTACCCACCAAATAAAAATTGGGTTTCAGGTCAAAATAAAATGAACAAACTGTCAACAGGGAAATAACAAGATACAGCGGAGAATATTAGAGCGTATAGAACCAACATGCATCTGCTTTCTGTTAACCCTGCCACGAGGAGAAAGAAAGAAAAAAAAATAAAAAGAAGGAAAATAAAAAGTTGTCCAATGAACTCCGTCACCTGGCAATTCGTAACATTCAACATACCCAAAATGGAAACAAGAGCTCAAGTAGCAAATCTATATAACATCCTCTGTGAAATTAACCGCAAGATCCCAATAATGCAGAACCCCGTGATCAAAAAAGTATTTCCGGGCAGCTGCCTCAGTCCTGCACTCCTGGACAAAAAATCTATTAAAACTCGGTTTAGCCACACTTCCCTGCCAGACAAGCGCACACTTATTCAGAGGCTTCTCCTCATCATCATCCTCATCATCATCATCATCATCATTTTCCTCATCCTTCTTAACAGCAGAAGCCCAATCAATCCTATTGAGCATAAGCTTCCCATACCTCTTAATCGACTTAGCTCCACCCTCGACAACAATCACGCTAATCCCTTGCGAAATCACCGCACATCCAGTCAGCCTGTTCTCCCGGGCATTGATGTCCACCTTAAAACGGGTCTGAGGATGAGAGAGGTCATTCACCTTGTAAACCGAGACAATTGTCTCCAAAAAAGCATTAGAGTCGTCAAATAGCTTTCTCTCCTTCTTTTCACGGCGTTCGGCTGGGGTCAGTTTGCGGGCCACGTTTCTGTCGATGTGGGCCTGTTCACGTTCAGCTGCAGCGCTTCTTATCTCCATCTCGAGACGTGTGGGGTCCTGAGTGGCTTCTGAGCCGAGGACTTTCATGAGGTTGCTCATTTTGACTTTGGGCTTCGGTGGCTCCAGCACACCAAGCCTGATCATCTCCTGACGTTCTTTCTCCCTGGCAAGCCTACGTTGTGTGCGCAATTTCTTTTGCTCCTTTTTGGTCAGCTTTAGGGGTTGGGGTGGAGGGGGTGCTGACTCGGCAGGTGGCTCGATCGGCCGGGGGTGCTCGACGTAAATCGTGATTTTGTCCGTTTTGATGTTTTCTTTTATTATCTCGCCGTTGAGTACATCGCCGTAAGTGCCAGAGTGTAGAAAAGGCACATCCCTAGGGGTTACGAGTTATAGAGAGTGGTTAAGTAGTATGAGTTTGNTCTTTCAACAAGAAAAGAGTATTTTATAGGATTTAATAAAATTAAGCACCACACATATTGTGTATGTATATATAAATGTGATAAAACACAAATGTGCTTACATTCATAAGCATATAGCCCGGAGATATCAAGAAACATAGATGTTAAAACAGAATATGATATTGAATTAAGCTGATAATTGAACTTCTTGAGGCAACCTAAAGTACCAACATGACGCTAAAGCAAGAAAAATCTCCAGATTTTTGGAAATTGAAGAAAAGGCTAACTTTAGATTCAATTATTGAAACGAGTTGAAATTGAAAGCTTGCTTACCACCACTCCACATCAGGAATTGGTTCCTGTTGTTTTTCTTTGGTAATCACCCTCTCTCCTACTTCAATCAAATTTGGGTTTATATCAGGTTCTGCCTTTGCCTTCGCCAACTGCACTTGCTTTGCCTTTAGCTCCTTTGCTTTTGCCTCCCCAAATTGAGACTATCAAAGCAAATATTTAAAAGCATTAGAGCAATATCCAATAAGTATGCAGAATGGTCATCACCTAAATAGTAAATACAGGGAGGAAATACCTTTAATTTAATAACTTCTGCTTCTTTTGACCACTTGCCTTCCTCCACAAACTGGAAGGTCATCTTCTTAGGCCTCAACAGTTTATTTTTATCAATTCCCATCCTTGCATCAAAATGAGGATTTTCATCGGGATCCACATCAAGTTCGGGCTTGAGAATTTGAAAGGCATCTTTCTTTTGCTTGTTGATATTCACCTAAAGGATAACAGACATTCGAGTCAATAAGTGAAACATCATACATGGAAATTGACAATGAACCTTATTAATTCCATAGAGTTTTGAGGTCTTTTCACTATTGGTAACTCATATAAAACAAATGACACTAAATTTAACAGTTCTACAGTAGTTCTGATATACCTTGAGAGTACTCAAGCTGTTTACTTTTGGAACATTTACCACATTGCCATGCTCATCCACTTCCCTGCCCAATGCATCCAGACGAAGCACGGGTGCTTTTGAAGGCTTTGGTTGAATGGTGACCTCAGGGGGCATTTGACCTGGAAACATATTAATGAGCGGAGCAAACTCTGGATCTTGTCTGAATCCCATCTTGGCAGCTAGCTCCTGTGCACGTTTTACAGCTTCATATTTTTGCGCAGTGAGTCCAGGAAGATGAGGCAAACCAATCTGTGGGGGAGTGACTGTGGTTGATGTGCCAACTGGTAAAGTTGAAGCGCTTAATGCAACTCCAGAAGGAATCACTGAGGTAGACACTGGCGTCGGCAATATACCTTTACTGGATGAAGCAGATTTAGCAACCTCCTTTTCACCCACTCCTGAACTACCACCACCGGTTGACGCTGAATCTCTGTTCAACTACAAAAGAAAGCAGGAAAGGGAGGCCCTAAGGGAACAAAGCCAATTAAATAAAACCGAAACTTGAATAAGGTCTTCTCTCAATACCTATCGTCTTTCTTCGGGATTTAGAACTAATGGCATATGCTGGAAATAATGTTTTAAATGTTGTTGAAGTATACAAGAAACAGACACACAAGGCACTTACAGCAGGAATCTTCTTCATTCTTAGTGCAAGCTCCTTCTGCATTTGTAAGGCTCTCTTAGCTTTTGCTAAAGCATCAAGGGACAAACCCCCACTCTTTCCAACATCAGAAGCTGTCCCATCTGTACTGGATTTCCCAGGAACCTCATGAGATCTGTTAATATTAACTCCCTTATTTTCATTTGTCTTGGTAATTGAAGATACCTTAGTAGTAGGAGAAAGGCTACGAGCCGGAGAAGTCTGAAATGAAGTGCTAGAGAGTGTTGTGATTGGCCCTGTTGTAGCACCCTGCAAGGCACAAACAGAGTATATCCATATATGTCAGAATTTAGTCCAACTACACACTATTATCATGATTTTGTTTCAAAGTCAAAGGCTAAACAAATGTAGCTTTTACAGCATGTAAAGGAACCTACAAACTGCAAGAACAACATAAATCTTGCACACCACTCACCAAATGCAAAGCCTTTATACAAAAAAGTGGATATGTTGAAACAAATATATCGACCTATACCAAATGCATAGGTCAACAACACTAGCCAAACAGATTACGGAGTAAAAGGAACAAAGTAAGTATTATGGCTTGGTGAGGAATTCTACACATTAACCAATGAGCATGCGCTTCTGGTTACGCTTCACACATCAGCATGCAAGTCTGAGACTGCCATGGTACTGCTATTTCATGTTGACTCTAACATCTCAATATAACATATTAATTTCTGATTATATGTTGCGTTTCTTTTTCCATGCTTCTCCATAAATCAAATAAAACTCACTCTTGCACCACATCTTTACACTGTAAAATAAAAATTACTAGACCTTTCACAGAAAATAAGAGACCTCTAGAACATATACGTGACAGATTTTGGAAAAAAAAAAAACTAATCATGTGGTGCATTTCTACTCCCCCAACAATCAACAAGAAGCTAACCATGTGACAGTTGCACACCAAAATATTTCGTTATTCCATATTCAATATGATCTCCCTACAACATAAGCAGAAAACGTTTGTCTAATACACTGAGAAAGAATGATCATTTCGGAATGAATAAACATAAAAGAAATAAGAGAATAGCCTAACTTACAACTACCAACTTTTGAGACAGCTCCCTTAAGAACACACAAACACACACTGAATACTAAAAGCAGCGACCAACCAGAGACATCAAATATCAATCAACTATAGTATACAAGCAAAGTATGTAACTAGCAAGAAATGGTGAAAAAGACAACTGATCCTATCATGTTTAGCATTGCGAGCCTAGTTACGGAGGCAAAAGGGGGAAACTTGGACAATACCACATGTACAGTCAACATTTCTAGTACATAGCTAGCTAATTTAACAGAGTTCCACATCTCTCTTCCAAACTTATACGAATGCCTACATGGGCTGCAGCTAAAACAAATATTCAAGCAAATAAAACTAGAACTCACTTCACAATTAGCAATCAAAGATCTAGCCCGTGAGCATCTAACTTAGGTAGTAACTTATGCAACAAACCAAAGAAGTGAAAGAAACACAGAGAACTCACGTTGGCAACAGAACCAGTCTCCCCTTGCTTTCCACTCCCATGGTAATCATCCTTTACATCTTTATTCACAGACTTCCCCTCGTATCCAGGACTCTCACTTACTTTCCCCATTTTATCATCTTCAAATCTACGCTTCTCCCTACCATTGTCATCATAAACCTTAGTTCTTTTATCGCTTCTCTCCTTCCTCTTTTTTCTCTCGACTGAACGAGATCTGTCGCGCTCCCGGCGCATTTCTCGATCCTTGCTTCCCTCTCGCTCGGTTCTAGAGTCCGAGCGACGGCGATGGTGTTCGTCGGATCTGAGGCGGTCTTCATCGTGCTTAGAGCGGTGGTGGTGGTCTTTGAGCGTGTCTCGATCGCGATGTGAGTCGGAATCTCTTCGTTTACGGCTTGAGCTCTCCTTGTCCATGGAGGCTAGGGTTTCTCTCTCCCACTTTTTGTGGTTTGAAACAGAGAAATGTGGAATGGAGCAGATTAGCAATCAAATTTGGTTGCTTTAATCCAGTTTGTTAAAACCAGGCGGGTCTACCCGCTCGGGCGAATCTAGATAACCACACACAGTACAAAACACCATATTCTCAAATCTCAATACATATTTGCCTTGATTATAAAATTAAATGTGTCAGCTGTTTTTACTAGCGAATTGTGTTAGTTGTTTTGACCATCGAATTGTGTTTTAACTAGCGAATTGTGTTAGTTGTTTTGACCATCAGATTGTGTTAGCAGTTGATTATAAAATTATTTGGTAAATTAGATATTTGTAAATAATTGTTTATATGCAAAATTATTTAAAAGACATTCATAAACTTTAATTTCTTTCTAATATTAAATTTATAATTACTTAGAAAATGCAAATCATTCATATTTTATATATTGTAAAGTAACTCAAATTAATATAAAAACAAACACAAATAAGAATTAACAACAACATTAACTCCAATCTCTTCAAATAAGATACCTAATTTGTTATTAAATCACTTTTTTCTTCTTTTCTAGTCTCTTTAAATAAGATACCTATTTTGTTATTAAATCACTTTTTTCTTCTTTTCTAGTCGAAGGCCTCTTTCTTTTTTTTTATTAAATTGAAATTATAAAAAAAATATTGGTTAGTTTAAGGTTATTTTAAGGTAAAATAAAATTTAACTTTAAATTGTAAAAATACTCCCAAAAAGGCAAAAACCCATGCATAACGGAAACGTGGACAAGTAAGGGTTAAATTGGAACTTGTAATATTTTTTTATTGGACATCCAAGGCTAAACGCTGGTAGTTGCAGTGTTTCTTATTCAGCAGATTGGACAAAAAAAAAGCCAACTTAACCGATATTAACCAAATACATTTTTTAGTGGATTGATAAAAATCAAAATAGCCAAAAGCCTAAACTGCTAATTTTTTTGTCAAAACGCCATTTACCAAACATGGCCATTGAATTTCGGACAACTAGGGGTGGGAAATAATATTCGAAAGAATCGAACCAAATCGAACCGAACCGAAAAAACCTTGTTCCGTTCGGTTATTTATGTTAATTTTATGGTTCGATTCCCATGGTAAAAAAA